TTACAACTACCCTCCCCTACAGGCCTGGTTCATCCCAAGTACCCTCCCCTGATGGCCATCTTGTGGTGGCCATCTTGTGTCCACATGGGGCAGAATCTTTGACCACATGGGGGCAGCCATCTTGTGTGTTGGAGTGATGGTCAATCTGCATATTATTCTTTTATTAGATAGGATAGAGGCCTGGTGCACTGGTGGGGGCCAGCTGGTTTGCCCTGAAGGGTGTCCCAGGTCAGGGTGGGGGTTCCCTTGGGGTGTGGGGTGGCCTAGGCAGAGGGCCTGTGGTGGTTTGCAGGATGGCCACACTCCCCAGAAACCCAAGCAGTGGCCCTGGTATTTAGCATTTATTGATCTTCTGCAATTGAAACTTTGTAGCCTGGAGTGAAGCCAAGCCTCCGGCTTGCTCCATGGTGGCAGCCATTTCTGTTGGAATTTATTTATCTTCTATAATTGAAACTTTGTATCCTTGAGTGGAGGCCTCAGCCAGCCAGGGTATATGGAAAGCTTGGCTTCCTCCACCACCGGGGAAACCAAAGCCTCCCTCCTGCTCGCTCGGCCACAGACATGTTGGTTGGGGCTAATTTGCTTACTTTGCTCCTGATTGGCTTGTGGTTATGGCTTGTGGATGTGGCTTGTGGTGTAGCTGAGAGATGGTTAATTTACATATTACTCTTTTATTAGATAGGAACTTACTTTCTGGTTTGTCAGGTTTGTTTATATTATTTAACTCCGAATCTTTGATTATTATACTTACCTTTTTCTCTTTCCTTTTTTCTTCTACCAATTTTTAATTACATTGCATTTAATTTTATAGATTAGCAAATAATATATATCATATAACAGTGATCTTCTGCCTTTATAACACTTTTGTTTTTGTCTTAGCTCTAAAATTAAATATATTAAATATTCATCATCAACCTCTTTGATGTTTCCCCAATAATCTCTCTTGTGGATGAATCCATTCACTATTCAATTTTTTAAGAAGAGCTTATGTTTTCAGAATCCTCTAAGTTTAAAAAATTTAAAGTTAAAAATTTTTAAGTTTTTAATCTTGTTGGCCAACTTGTTTAGATGTAAAATGTTTGTTTCAAACTTTGAGAATTTTTTCTATATTTTAGTTTAAAATTTAATTTAACTACAGTAAAATTTGCCCTTTTAAATATGCATAATAGAATTTATAGTTGCTCACATTTTGAGAAATTATATATATATATATACACACACACATATATATACACACACACACACACATATATACACACACACACACACACACACACACACACACACACACATATATATATATATATATATATATATATATACATATATATATATATATACAGTATATATACACTGAGTGTCCAGATTATTATGCGTTCAGACATCATAATAATCTGGCCACAATATATATATATATCAGCATCATAATCAAGATATAGAAGAGTTCCATATTACCAAAGTCCTTTAGAGTCAGTCTTTAGCCTCTGGAAACTAATGGTCTTTTTCTGTCTTTATAGATTTGTTTTATTTAAAATATCTTTCAAAAACAATTTTGCCTTTTAAAAAATATTGCTTCAAAGTTGCTTTGTTTCATTATTATTTTTTTCATTGTGAGGCCAGTATAATTCTATTGTTCTTTCTAAATTATTCCTTATTTTTGCCTGGAATCCCTGAGGATTTTTCTTTTATATTTAAAATTTAATGTCTAAATTTATCTGAGTTGATTGTTGCATGTCAAATTTCTGGTACTGAGTCAGCCCTATTAATATGTAGATTCAGACTTTCTTTTATTTATGAAAATATTTCTTAAATTATAGTTTTAAATATTAATTTCCATTATTATTTTTTTCCTTTGAAGAATTCTCATTATATGCACAATGGATTTCTTTTTGCTGGTCTTTCTTCTCAAACACTTTCATTCTGACCCCTTTTACTTTTTCTTTATCTCACCTTCATTCTCTGTTGTTTCATTTTGCTTCAGTGCTTCTTATTCAGTTTTTATATGAATTTATTGTTCTTTATGTACTTTAATTTAATGTTCATTTCTGATGTGATTTTATTCTTTCTCTTTTCTTTTATTGCCTTGGGTTCATCAACTTTTGCTTGACCAATTTTTTTGTCTGTTTCATTTCTTAGCTTTTAGATTTCTATTTCAAGGTGTTTTTTTTTTTTTTCATATCTTCAAATGCCTGTTTGAGGAAATTTTATTTTGAAGTATTTTGTAATCATTTTCTTTTTCTTGTTCATTTTTTATTAGTGAAATTTTTTTTTTATTAGTGAAAATTTTTATCAAATGCCTTTTTTAAATCCTCAGGTTCTGCTTTACTTTTTATTTTGATTAATTTGTATTTATTTATTGAGTATGTATTTATCGAGCACTTCTTTTTCTAAAACTACTTTCTTGAGTCTTAATGCACACTTGTAAGTCACTTCCATAAAGGCTGAGCTTCCGGAAAAACTTGAGAATTTTTATACTTGAGGTTGAAGGGAACAACTCCCAAAACTGTGCCTTTGGGTTGTTAAGAAATGAATGACTCAGGAAAAACTTTTGCCACCCTTCCTCCTTAACCCCCATCCCCTGCTTTCTTGCCTAAGAAATTTAGATGTGAAGGCCTGCTTCAGGAAGAAAATCTTAGAATGTTTGCCTTAGCCTAACTGAATTTAGTATGGTAGATGGAAGGGATCCAAGTAGGGACCCGGTAGCTAACTCACCTCCTCTGTTCCACTGAAGCAAGAGTTTGCCTCACATGTGTGTTCTGTTCTTCCTTAACTACTTGCAAATTGCCTATTCTCATTTTTGAAATCTAAGATCTCATTGTTCTCCTTTTCTCCTTTGTCCAAATGACATATACGTTTGTCCAGTTTTGCCTCACTGTTTTTGTAATTTTCATGGTTATGTGAATTCTTTGCATGCACATACTAAAATTTTTATTTCCTCCTGCTAATCTGTCATTGTTAATTTGATTATTAGCTCAGCTAGAACTTAGAAAGTTGGAGGAAAAGTATTTTATTTTTAGCCCCAGAGGGGAGCTTAGAGATAACTTAGAATTTGTTTTTTCAATAAATTTAGTGGTGGTATTGTGTAATTTTATTTGTTCTTTCCTGTTGGGTGGGAGTCTAGAAGTGTTATAAGATTTGTTTTTAGGATAATGTCATTTTTTTATCACATATATTTTTTAAGGATCAAACTGGCAAAATGAAACAGATAGTAAAAGACAAAGTATACCTTCTGTTGCACACTAATTCTAATAACATTTTCTTAAACAATTTTGGAGCCAAGGAGTGGAAGAATGCTCACTGAGCTGGTAAAATACTTAGGTTTTGAGGTTAATGTGCCATTAAAACAATAAAAATAAAAAAAGCAGCTTTTCAGAGAATACTAATTATAAAATATCTATTAATATAATCTATTATCTCTGTGTATTTAGGACAGAGTAAATAATTTTTATGTTCTATGAGAGATTATATTTGAAGATTTGAGAACTTAAGGTACACTTTTAGTATCATTCCTTCTAGTCTAATTCCATTATACACCTCAGGGACTAGGAGTCTAGTTCATTCCTTTGTAAGATGAGCATATCAGCAATTAAATCCAAACTGGGTTCTCCGGTTTCCTAGTACAGATTCTTTATAGTTTTTTAGAAGTGATTTTTATTGATCATTATAAATATTAGCTAGATGCAAAATTATGGTTAAAGTATATAGGGCATAGAGACGGCAGAAAATAAAAATAAAAATAAAAAAACTCTCTAAAACAAAGTTATCAAAGCTCAGGGGATGTGGAGGGATTGAGGGGAGAAAAAGAGAAAAAGCAAGAGAGAGAAAGAACTCATGGACATGAACAACAGTGTGGTTACTGTGAGGGGAGAGAGGGATGAGGGAGAAAAGGGCAGTAGAGGGGGGATAAAAGGTGATGGGAAAAATAAAATTGAAATAAATAAATAAAAAATATATCTTACATACCAATAAATAAATATATAAAAAATTCATTACTTGAATTTTTATTGTGGTAATGTGACCTTGCATTTATATATTACTAATGAATTTGTTATCCCCTGTCTCTTCATAAAAACATAAAATGTAGACTCCAAAAGTATTGAGAGCTTATTATGTGCCAATCACTTTGTTTGCCAAGATTAAAAAAGGTTACTTAAAATATATTTATTAAAGACGTGAGCCTCTTTCACCTTCTTTGTATAATAGATGGCACTATGTATATAAAACAGAATATAGGGGTAGTGGTGTGTTTCTGAGTCTGTCCTATTGCAAGGCAACTGTCATTGTAGATAACACTGAACAATAGGGTATCTATCTATGATTATAGTATATTATAAAATGTCTGTTTTGCTTTTTGAAAACTGTTACTGATTTATTTAATAACTATCACATCCACATACAATTCTATCTGCCACAAAATTTCTTTTTTCTTCACTTTTCAAATGATATGAGCAAAATAATTAACTTTATGAATGTTTACTGTGATACCTGACACAAATTCATGACATAATCTGAGATCGAAAAACTAATAAATTGTACTTACCTGGCAGGGAGTTAAATAATCAATCTTTTAGGAGATTGGTAAAATGTTGCCTAAACTTGAAATACTTTTAAAGATTAATGTTCTCAACTATTTGAAATATTTCTCCTACCTTCTCAAACGTATTCCTAGAAATTTTGCCTGTAAACAAAGCATTTCTAGGCCAAGGAATACTTTCAGCAAGGCTTCACACTATATTGAGGGCTGCAGGTTCCATCACTTAAAAGGATATAAACAAAAAATAATGGTATATAAAATATTACAATTTACCACCTCAAAAAAACATTGTTTATGGAGTTCTGAGCTTGGAGATTCAAGTATTGATTGCAATTTTATTTTGAAAAGAATGCTACAACTTATGTGGTTTTTCCTCATGTTTATATTAAAAGAAAAGTTAATAAACTCTATTTTAATTAAAACAAAAACAAAAAATTAAAAATTAAAAAAATTAAATTGTACTTACCATAAAGGATTGCCAGCAGAGAAGTTGGCATGACAAATAGTCCCACTAGCAAATCAGCAATGGCTAGGGACATTAAGAAGTAATTGGTGGCATTGTGCAATTTCTTTTCCATCTTTACTGCCATGATGACGAGAATGTTGCCACCTATTGTCAATATTATTATTATGACGATTGCAAGTGCTGGCCAGTTTTGTACCCCGTCTGGAACTCTGACGCGCCCATCATCGGAGGCATTAAAAATGTCAGTTACTATGGCTGAAACTGGGCTCACAGAAATATCACATTGCCAAACCAATAGGCCGATTAGATGCACACTGAAAATTAAAAGAGAAAAAGATTAGATACATATAGAAGGTGGGTGGGTCAAAAGTAGGTTTATAGCTGTGAATTTGCAAATCACATTCAAGAGTTCTTGTATTATTATTTATTAATTATTTTCCATAGGAACAACTGTAAACTTACTTTTGTCCTACCCTATTTTAAGCACAATAAATGGCTTATACAAAACAATTGCTTTTCCTTTAACAGTCATCATCATCATCATCATCATCATTATCACACCTATTCTTTTAATTAAGCCTCAGTATATTTTCTATCCAAATAATAACTTTATTGAGTGTTTATTATGAGTGTGTATTATTAGCTTATGAGTGTTTATTATTAGCTTACTGAAATAGTCTATTTAATAAAGAGCTAATATGCTAATTAGGCCAAACAACTGTCCGTACGACCTTCCAGACAAAGCTGGGGCTTCAAGGGTCAAGCCCCTTGCACGAAATTTGTGCATTGGACCTCTAATATATCTATAATCTCATTTGATCTCATAAAACAACCTCACGAAGTCAGTACTGATTTATATCCATTATGTAGATGAGGAAACTGAGGTTCAGAGAGGTTAAGTAACGTTATCAAGGCAATATAGCCAGTAAAGTGGCTGGGAAAGGTCCATACTCAGGTTTCACTGATTTCAAAGCCTGTGTTTTCAACTTTTACTCTATGCAAGCAATCTGAAACCATGGTATTGCTTCATTTGTTGTAATGATTTATTCAAATTATATTCATTACGTGTCCTCTCAAAGTATAAGTTCTTAATGTGTCTAATAAAACACTTACTTTAATAAAATAGACAAAGCAAACAAGCATACTAAAATTTTTCTGCTTAAAATCAAGAGTTATCTGTACATGACTGTCTTACATGTGTTTTATGTTCAATAACAGCTACTTAATAAATATTAAGCAGCAATTAGACTATATGTAGTGGTTGCTATTGTTTTATGATTATAATAATAATATCACATCTATACAATTATTCATATACACATGCACACACACCATACTTTGTGAACCAAACTGTAGCAGTCTGAAAAAGTATTGGCATTATTTAGAGTAAGTAAAATATTATAATCATTTTATAGCACATTTAAAAATTATTTCTCTATTATCTTGTTACTCTACTATGTATTTTAAGATAATGAATGAGTCAAAAAATTTTGACATATCATTTTACAAAGGATATAAAACTAATACTTCAGAAATCTAGCTTAAAAATAAACTTCTCATTAGTCAAAGTAACATATTTTAAGCAACATGGGGAGAGACATACATAGTAATTTTTATCAAATATTAAGAAGCAATCTCTCTCTCCCCCTCCATTCCTCTCTGAAACCAATGATATATATTTTAAAAATACTGAATTACTAAGGAAGCTTGTAGAATGTAAATATATCTATTGTGAAAATAAATAAATAAATCTTTTGTGAATTATAAAATAAAGTAATGGTAGCAGGAAAGATCCTGAAAGAGTATTTACTGTAGTTCCCTGGTTTCAATTCAATTTAATAGATTATTAGTGAGTACTATTTATGGACAAAATATTATGAGTTTTATTGTAGTCCAATACTATTTTCTATATTTTTGTAATAAAAAATTGGCTGTATTATAATTAAATCTAATTTCAAATATTTACATCCTCAGTGAAATATATATAGTCTTTTTACAAAAGAGAAGTAATTTAGGTCTTGCTCCTAAAGCTTATATGAATTGCCATGAAGCCAACAGAAATCTCATAAAATATATGCACAAAAATCACAAGTTCTCTTGGAACAGTGCAAATAACTTATTCATTGCTATTAAATTTTTAATGTAATACAATTTTACATGCATAGAAGCTAAACAAAATGATAATTTAATTTAAAAGTCTGAGTATATTTTAAACCTACTGAGTTTGTCCATGATATACGACGATGAACATAATTAGAAGAGATGAATGCTCCCTGTTTCTCTTAATAGGATGGAAAAAGGGTGATATAAATTTCTTAATTTCATACTAGAATAATTCGGCACACTTTAATGTAGCCCTACTTTCTGGTATATAGACCAATGGCCAAATAGAGTTGGCAAAGGCACATGGAACATTTGTCCTTTCACTTTCTTACACCTGATCTGTCTGATCTGACTCTGTTATCACTACCTACCCATTTCCTTTTTCCATCTGCTCTAGTTCTCTTGGAGCCACACATCCTTGAGACTATCATTGCTACAATAAGCAGTGACATATAAGATGGGCTATAATGGTGTATATTGGAGATGATCCAATGTTGATGTACTTTATCTCTACACTGCTCTGTAAACTTTGTTCCTGAGTGAGCTCTTTTACAGAAATTATAGAGGGAACTGTGTAAAGCGAGGCGATTCAAGGTTTCTCCACTGTACCAGTTTACAGAGCCCTGGATCTTTTTTTTCCCAATGTCCCATTCCTCAAAGAGTAGGTTTAGAAGAAACAAACCCTACATTTTGTTAGGTTAAAAAGAAGATATGACTGGATTACATCATGTTTAGAATTGCCCAGTATTTGAATCCAACTCTTTACTTACATCCTTTATGTTATATTGTACTAGTTTATCTACTACTGGGTCATTGGATCAAGACTTCCAAAAATGGCATCATTTTCCTCTGTCTAGCTACATCCCCCAATCCCAATTCCCTGACTTCTGATGCATTCTTTTGCAACCTCAAATATTCTTTTTAAAACCAGAGACTTATAAAGACATTTTATTTTCTTGGTTCAGTTCATGATGGAAGAAGAAGGAAAGTATCTTCTCACTTCTATGTTTTAATCATGGAGAAGGCAATTATGAGCATTGTGATTATTTTTTAATTTAAGATATAATTGCCATATTACTTTTTTGAGTGCATGAGTTGTGTTTAATTGGAGTCCAAATTACAAAGTTTTTCTTCATTTATTGCTTTTGAATAGGAAACACGTATACAATTAGTCTATTGAAACAACAGTCATTTATGAAGATTGAGGTAAATATGGCCTTTTTAACATTTTTGAGCCATCTACCATAAAAAAGTTATCTTTTGGAAAAAAATAAGTAATAGCATACTTACAGGAACGAGTGCACTGCTTTCCTTAAGTTCACCATGATTGCTTCAGTGTTAAGCAACCAAAGTTTAAAACTGAGGAAAGGAAGTTTAGATTGGGTTCAAAATGTCATCCTTTCTGGGGAGAGAAAAGAAAAAGAAAATTAGTTAAAGGTCCAAATAATTTACATAACAACCAATTAAATTAACTTAAATATACTTATTAAGGGATAAGAAACAATCAATACTAAATTTATTGCAAATAGGTCAGCATGGTATATCACATAAGTGGTAAAAATGACAAAGAGAATAGATTTTTTGTTATTTACCAATATACAACTATCATAGTTTTTCTAATCATTCTTGTACACACTTTATTTATATGTGGATTCCACTAAATCTTTCCCTGTCGGAACTTCGAAGAGGTGTTTTAAGAAAGAAATGAAGAATACATGTTTCTTTAATTTGCAAACCATTAGGGTAAAATTTGTGATCTAATAATCAGGTAACATCTGTAAAGTAAAATGTTTTCATCTTTTAATAAATAGAAAACTAAAACAAGTTTTAACTGTTTTTATAAAGTGAAAATACTTTGTACAACTTTTCTAACTTTTTGGCTTCAGAGTGAAGCCATCTGTATTTACATAGATAGCTTTACTTATACTTTGGTTTTAACCAACAATATTCTCTAGAGTACTAAAACAGGTTTATACCAAAATAAATGAGTTGGTCATGTTTATTATATTGTATATATGAACCACCCTCATGTATCAACTTCTTAGTATTCAACAGACAGTATGTTACAGTCAAACCCATGGAATAATGCTGAAAATTATTCAAATAATGCAAACAAAAGTTGAGTTACATTAGATGACTGAAACAAACATTTGTAGTTTCTTTTATTAGGAGGTCACTATGTATCTTCAAAGGTGCTAGGAACGAAATATGAAAACTCTCCAAACAACTTATTAAAGAATTTCAGAGTGAGCAGCTTTGATTTCTGTAGGCTATTTTTAAAAGGAGTTTCATTGAAAAGCCCCAAATATTTACATAGTAGATTATTTACACTTAGCGTGCACTATACTCAGTACGCTAAAATGTTGGCCAAATTTGCTGAGAATCTCTGCTGCACTTCTTGTGGAATAAAACACCATACCAAGTAGAACATGTCACTCTAAACCTTTACATTGACACTGAAGAAACACTCAGTGTGAGTTCTAATGATTAACATAGAGAACCTTTTGTTCAGTGATTCCTAACTGGGAGCCGAATTGGTAAACACCTCTGTTCTCCATCTTGTTTTTTCTATAACTTCTACTTTATGATTTTGATTACACTCTCTTCCCACACTAAACATCCAACTGTATTCATTTCTGGGATTGCAAACTATTATAAGAGTCAGGATTGTGATATTAACCTTGTCAACAGTGGGCTGTCCTTGAGAAAAATGTGTGTGTGTGAGAGAGAGAGAAGGAGAGAGAGAGAGAGAGAGAGAGAGAGAGAGAGAGAGAGAGAGAGAGAGAGAGATAATTGAATAGTTTGAAAACATGGAATAACATGAAATACCTATTTTGTCTAATTTGTAAATATTTTTAAGAAATATGATAAGATATGTTGGTAAACATTTGAAATGTTTTCTAGTGTTTCTTAGAAATTAGGAAATAAAATTTTGCTAGAACAATATGCACCTCCTTATATTTTCGGTCTCACTTAATGACAGTATTATTTTTCTTTATTTTCACTTATTTCTCATCTTTCACCTGTAAGTTCCAACAGTGCTACTAACACAAAAATCTATCTCAAAATTATATATAATTTAACTATACTATAATAATACTTAAAATATGGCCTCCAGTATCCAGGAACCTTAAATATCCTGTTGGAAAGAAAGAGTGACATTAGCCAGATCATCATTAGCCAGACCATTTTTGTCCCTAAAATTTTGCCAGACATGCATAAATCCTTTTTTACTAGGAGGTCTGAAAATAATTGAAAGAAAAAATATGTAAAGGAAGATAAAGTGGTTGGATTTTGCTTCTTAGCCCTCAGTAAATATGAAAATACTTCTGTTTTTAATAATAAAATATAAAAATTATTTTCAATTTTTATTTTTCAAGTATCCAAAAAGTAATATAATTTAAAAGTTTCAAAGTAAAATATGTTTCATTCTAATAGATAACAACTCAATTGAAATTGTTTTTCCCATAGCTCCACATGATAATCATGTCATAAAGACTGTATTATCCATATTCACCATGCTGGAATCACATTATTGTTACTCAAAATGTTATATTCCATTAAAAGTTATATAAATAGAAAAATTAAACAATAAATATTTATTTTCAAAGTTCCAATCTCATTAATTGAGAAGAGCCAAGTAATCATAAAAGTACCATATTACATATAGGCATTTCACCAATTTATTAACTAAAATACCTTGGGAGAAAAATAATATTTTTCTGTGCTATTAAAATTTACACCTTTTTTTTAAAAATATATTTTATTGATTTTATACAGAGAGGAAGGGAGAGAGATAGAGAGTTAGAAACATCGATGAGAGAGTGTCATTGATCAGCTGCCTCTTGCACACCCCTTACTGGGGATATGCCCGCAACCAAGGTACATGCCCTTGACCGGAATTGAACCCGGGACCCTTCAGTCCCCAAACCGACGCTCTATCCATTGAGCCAAACCGGTCCCGGCAAATTTACACCTTTTTAAAGTTGACTAAACCTGATAGAAAATGTCCCTGGATTAGTGGTAAGGTTAGCGATATGATATGCTAGACAGGCATAAATTATACAAATTATGTAAAGTAAGTAATGTTACATTACATGGTTTACCAAAAGGTCAAATCACTGTGATGACATTTTGCAGAGAAATGCTTTGTAATTTTACAAAAAAGGGAGGAAATGCAAAACCCCTTAAAATCTTGGATAAGATAAAGAGGAACAAAAAATAATAAGACAACTTTAATTAAATGCTCTTATCTGCATACCCTTGTGACTCCACCAATGTTTCATAATTATATATATATATATATATATATATATATATATATACAGAAAATTATTGATTAACCTGAAATCAATTAGCTGTCTCAAACATGAAGATAAAATCACAAATTAAAGCAACCCTGAATAAGTATACATTTAAACCAATCCCATTTCTTTCTGCAGCATAAATTACAAACCTTTTCATGATCTCTCTAAAGCACTGTAAGATCTTCAGACATCAATAACAGTAACTACATTTGCTAAGGCAAAAAGGGGGACAAATATTAGTTTTCATATATTTCTCAATTATATAATTTTATACAAATTTGTTGCAGAGTAACCTCAATTAATATGAAATTTTAATTAAGCAAAACTTAAACCCTAAACAGTATATTTAATTGAGGCCTATGAAGCTATGCTTATATGTCAACATAAGTCATGTGTCATAAAGCATATATCATCATAGTGAGAACATGTGAAAATAATTGAACAAAAATAGGATCTCTATTGTATCAATATATTCAGAAATAAATTTCAAACTATCATTATCAGTGTCACTCACATAAATACTTAAAGGTCACTACAGTAATCATTCTGGAGTTGAAAACAATTGCATTGGTGAAGAAGGACTGGCAGTAGTTAAAAAGACCAAAAGATATTGTACTTTTGACTCTTGCAACATGCCCTCAGGCTAGGCCAGGGAATTTTTTTCATTTCACCACTAATTGGAGTGATTCCTTTTTAGCTCTAAATTGAACATGGCTATGATGGGATCAAATCTTTTTAATTACACAATTTCTTTCTGACTTTTTGCAGTGTTCTTTTCCAGGTTTTACATGGGCATGAATTTAAACATACTACACCTTTTGAACGATATTGTGATGATTCACTTAGGGCTATGCTCTCTATAAAGGATACCTAGTTATGTCAGTTTGCCAACCGAGTGGTGAGAGATGTGTGGCAATCTTTGTTGTCTATAGAATACTGTATGTTAAATTCATTTGTGGAAACTACAAGAATGAGAAAGGGAATTCAGTATTGCACATCATGTCAGTTTTACACATATTAAATTTAGCTATGAAAGAGCTTCTACATTATTATTTATTGGGAGAGATGAGGGCAAAAACATAAGCAAAACCACAAGGGGAAAAAAACAACACAGTTTGGACTCCAGTAAAGTCATATTTGGGGAATAAGTTTACAAATCAACTGTTAAACAAGTAGAAAGTAAATATTAAATTAGAGAAGGGGGAAAAAGTAAGGGGGAATGCAACAAATAAAGTGGAAAGGATAAGCAAAAGGAAAATGTCAAGGGAGAGTGTTTTGAGAAGGAACAGAGTTTATACTATGTGATTTGTCTAAAAGGTGATGGCTGATGTTCTTAGCACCATTTCATTATGTAATGTAGAAAGAGTCTAGAATGTAGTTAGATAGAGGGGGAGAGAAGAGGACTTGGCAGATTAAGGAGATGGAAATGAAAAACATTCAAAAGATTTTGTCCAATGCAGCAGAAGCAGATGTGTAATAAACATGTACTAAAGACGAATTTTAGGGAGAAGAAGACATATAGCTATATTTGCCTCATAACTCCCATATTCCTTAGCCATGTGCTGTGTACAAAGTAATTGGTTAATGGAAAGAAGGGAAAGGAGAGACTTGAAGAGATTTAATATATGAAGGCAAAATATTCTATTTTAGAATGAAGGACAAGCTCTGATTTTGTCCAAATTGTGCTTGGAGATGATAGAAGTCTACAACTTTATTGAAAACCTGTACATTTCCTTGCATATTTTAAAACTAAGCATTTATCATTAATGTTTACTGTTACCTTTTCCACCTTTTGACACTGAAGGAAGATTGGTCATTTTCAACCACATTTTCTGTCCTCAGTTTCTTATTCTTTCTTTCCCAGACCTGGTCAAATGTAATATCAATAATATGCCATCATTTCCACTTGATTTTTTAAAATTGTTTTTGAATTCATTGGTGTGACATTGGTTAATACAATTACATAGGTTTCAGGTATACAATTCTATAATACATCATTTGTGTATTGTATTGTGTGTTCACCACCCAAAGTCAAGTCTCCTTTTATCACCATTTATCCCTCCATTACTTTCTTCTATTTCCCCTATGCCATTTC